CAGGCCAGATCCATTTGATACCCCTGCCATTGTGCTTCTTCTGTGAAACAAGAACATCAGCCTACAGCACTGTCATGCACTTCTCTTCAGCAATGGTATGTTCAGAAAAGTCAAGGTGCTATACCTTTGTATGGCTCATAATTTACATGCAACCCACACAGTCCATGGGAGCATGAAGAAGAAAGATGGGGTTTGATAAGGAAGTGCATTCCCCTTCTCCTTCCTGCCCTAGCAGTGCTGGCTAGCACTGTTCACTATGGCTGGGCCCAGGGTTTTTATACCAGTCAGGAGAGAACACTTTAGTTTTTGGACAGGCAGATCAGTAACTGCTATAAATTCTTCAGACCTGAAGGAACTGTTGTCATCTAGTCTGATGTGTTACATTATACAAACTGTATCATTTTATCCAGTAATCCCTGCATCGGGTATAAAATACCAGGTTGAGATAGAATATGTGTTTTTGAAGTCCATCCTAATTTAAGTATTTCATATGGTAAAGGATCTACTTCATTCCTAGTTAAAGTGTTCTGGTGATTGACTAACCTGCTAAATATTTGCATGTAGCTTCTAATCTGAATGTACTATTTCCAACCCATGGATTTTATTAGCTTTTGTGTGGCAAATAAAAAAGCAGAAATGTTCTCCTTGTATTGGTACTTACAGACTGTGATCAAGACTCTTTGTAACTTTCTTTGGATAAATTAAATAGCTTGATCTTCTATAATCATCTTTACTGCTGTATGGATGTAGAAATATTTGACAATGAGGCAAACAGTCTCTAGAAAGTGCAATGCAGTGCAATAAAAACTTTTAAAACGAGGCCAAAAACCTGGGGCATTATCCATGAGGGCAAAAGGGTAGCCTGCAATTTAGACTCTCCCTGTCTTTCAGAGAGGTCAAAATCCACTGAGAACAGCTTATATCAGTAGGATGTAGACATTTCTTTGAGCTGGAATGATGGATCGATGTAAAGGTTTATTTGATTTTTTTTAAATGTAACAGAACCCTAGATGTATATGACTTACTAAGTAACAGTGTGGTCTTATTAATCACCCTGTCCTCTGTCTTTCCCTTCTTCGTTCCTAATTTGGCTGTTTATAATGCTCATTTGGGACCTGATCCAATACACATCGAGTTCAGTGTAAGTCTTTCAATGGTATTTGGATCAGGGCTTAATGCTGTGTTGAATTAAGTCTGTATGCTCCTTAAAGCAAGAACACTGTCCTCATTTGTTTTGTGGGGTGCTTGAAAAGGACTATAGCTGTAACAAACTGATGTTAAGACAAAACCGAGCTAGAAAATCAACTGCACTATTTCAAAATAGCTGAGGCTTGTTTATATTCCAGCCTTCCACTGCCTGTACACCTGAAAATAAGAAAAAAAAACATAGAGGGTAAAAAGTTCCCACATAATGAAACACTAACAGGAAGAAAAGTAGAGTATTCACTTTAATTTGAATGATGGCACGGAAAAGTATGGTTTAACAAATCAGTGTTTCCAACATAGAATCCTACTGCTTCATGGAACAATATAAATCTACATAGGATTTTTCTTATGGACAACATTGCAGACATAAGAGAACTACAGAATTCAGAAAAGTATGAAAATAATAAGAAATACCTGGGGACAAAATGCAGAGCTGATGTCAGATGGTATAATTCCATTTAGCCCAATGTGTGCGCACAGTGCCATGTGCAATCTTTGGTTGGGCTATTAGCTTGTTTTATGTTTACATACAGTATAATCCACAAGTACGTAGCAGGGTACCTGACCAACAGTGCAAGTAAACAAAGGTTCCAGACATACATGTTTAAAGCAGTTTTATTTTTTGTCTGTGCTCATGTTATACATAATGCTTATGGACCAATTTTACTCTCTGAGCAACCCTGCCAAAATAAATGTGCACTATGCACATGTGGAATTGGGCTGAGTTGGGCTTGTTTATCTTTGTCCACCTGGAAGAATTTAAATGCATAAATTAATGCTGTGTGCTAAAAATAAAATGAGCCTCATGCTTGGGTGTTTAAGGCCTTTTATTCTGAGTGAGTTTTGTGTACACCACACAAAAATTAGGTCTTTGCAACAAGAACATTGGATAAATTGAATATTAAAGTTAAGGGGATTCCACAGAGATCCTTCATGTTTTAGTCATTAATAATAAGTAGCATGTTGTTTTGAGTGCCAGTTACTGGTGGCAGGCTGTGTTGTGTGCAATCAGTGTAGCTGTGTTTTATTAAAAAAATTCTGAGTCTGGGAAATTAAATATGACATTAAAAGGACAATTTGATGAAAACTTAAGTGCCCAATTTTTTTTCTAGTGGATGAACAAAGATTGAATTATTTTTGTAATTAAGCCCAGTGTCTAAGGAAAATGCATGCTGTAGTTAATAAAACCAGTAGTTAATAAAGTGCATTTAATATGGCCTACTACTGTATGATCTCCTGCCCTGATTCTGCTTGATCTCCTATGTTAAATAGGGCTGGGATGGACTGAGACTTGAACAAACTACCTCCATGGAGGAAGTGGAGCAATGAAGAAAGGATGTTGATATGCCTCAGTGGGTATAACAGTACACTCTGGGGTATTAATAAATATATGCCCCTGCACATTGTTAAAGTGCATATTAGTGGCGGTCCTATATAATTAGAAAGCTCCACACATTCAAGGGCTCTGACAACAGCACCAGTAGCAGCATCAGTGATGAAATGCCAATTCTCCCAGGCCCTGGAGCCCTTCCTCTATACTCACCATATCTTCCTTCTGAAGTCTAGACTGACATTAATGCTTGCAAAGGGGAGCCTAACAATTTTCCTTCTTGTTCTAGTCATGTTTGTGACCTCCTCCCTGACTTGTACAGAAACTAGCAGACTTTGAGTACTAGCAACTAAAGAGATGTCAGGAGGGTACAAAGTCTGCATAGAAGGTGCTATATAGGGTTTTATGGATCTTATTTGCACAGAACCCAACATAGTACTGCTAGAGATGTTATCTTGTGGGTGAAATGCAAAACCAAGATCCCAAGCATTTTTAGTTATTAGAGAGTCTATGACACTTTTTATGAGAGGAAGGTATTGGTCCATATGTCTTGGCCAAATTCTTATTTGCATGATTTCACTCTCATCTATCTTCCCTAGCCTGGCTGTTTCACCTGGATTCAGTATTCCTCAATTTCTAACCTAAACACTTGTAGTGGTAATGTGTATCATTCAACTGCTGCTGTTCACTGGTGTGTAAAATGACTTGTATATTATAGTCCTACCTGCCTCAGAGGTGCATTTTGAAGCTTATGAAGCTAATAATGTCTCTAAGGTGCTTTGAGATCTTTAGATGAAAAGTACGATAGTCGAGCTTAAATTTGTTGTCAATATAAATATTAAATCACTCCAGCAATGAAGAGAAAGCAAGTGTCTCCTTTAGAATATTAATAATAATTCAAAAAAATTAAAAAGCTGAGAGTAGTTAGAATCTCTGCATCACTTAGAAGATGAATGTAGCCTGATAAGTGCACAGAATTATAAAGGTTTCTTTGTGAGAAGGGATGTTTCATTGCATAGTGAGGAATGAGATTGCAGTTTTCAAGCCCAGCTGCAGGCAAAACATGCAACCTTTTGTTATGCTGTTGAGCATCAGAGTCTGAAACAGAGTGCTTCAAAGGCAAAGGAGGTCAAATAAATACTCAAAGGGGAAAGTAACTGCCTTTCCTGTTTTTCATTCCAAGCCTGGCTGGACTATGGATCTTTTCTTTTACAATAATAGCTCCCTCTCCTTTGGGGGATAACATGCCCCATCACCATGCTCCTTGAGAGAGATCTTACGGCCTCCTCGTGGCAGCATGTGCCCCAAACATCGTTCAGTCCCTGTAGCAATAGAACTCCTCCTCCAACAGCCAGCCAGCCAGTGGTGGAGGCAATTGGGAATGACATCAAGGCACTGAAAAGTTCTACAACACTAGGAGCACAAACTCATGTCCCTCAAAAGCAGCCATAGGCCAGGAACTTACTCCCTCCCTGATTATCGGCTTTTTTGGGTAGGACTGAAGAAAATATGCTAGTCTTCAAAGCAGCTTTGCAGAAACTGGCTACCTAAACTCTGATAGCTCAACTCTCTTGCTCCAGCTACTAGAGCCACTGTTCCCACCTCTATCCCATCTACTTTGATCTGCCATTGGGTGGGTATGAGAAATGAGAACTGTCAATGGCTCTACCCTTCTAGATTCAGGAAAAAATGAATCTCTCTCCTTATAGGGGGTTCCTTGTCCATTACTGCATGACTCCGTGGTGAAACTGTGTTTTACTCACCTACCCTGGCTGGCTATTGAGTGAATTTAAGGATTATCCTTCTGCCTCCCAATTAGTGGAGGGTTTTTCTTTGCAGGACCTTGGTTGCCTCTCCTTGCCTCCTGAAGTTGCTGCTCTGAAGTTGCTCTATGGAAAGGCTCCTCTAAATCCTATGACCCCAGCTGACTTCCTGCCCTTTGGGCAGGGGGCTGGACTCGATGATCTTCCAAGGTCCCTTCCAGCCCTAATGTCTATGAAATCTATGAAAGTAATCAGTCAACGGGGGTCAGCACTGCACGGATCCTTGTAGCTTCCTCCAAAACAAATTCAGAAGACAATCACATATATCCAGTTTGGGCTATCAGTGAACCCAAGCCTCACTTTTTATTTAATAAATTAGAGCTCAGTCCTGTGAGGTACTGTGCACTTTGAACTCCCACAGACAACTGTGTGATTTAAGGGTTCTTCTGAGCCTCTTACAGGATGGGACTGTGATGGATACTGCAAATTGTTAAATATCTATGCACAATTTTGAATGCCACAGTAGCTTGTCTACAAGGTGAAATTAGGCAAAAATATCACTTTAATTCAGGGAATGCACAATATTGCTTACTTAAGCAAGCGGATTTCTCTGGCATCTTCTCACAATGTAACTGGAAAGCATACACTTTTGCCTTCTAATATTGTAAATATCAACAGCAGCTTGCAAACAACAGCGCAATCATTATTTTTTCCTATTCAGCATGCCTTTCATTCCCTCCGCCCTGATTTGCCAATCCACAAGAGAAAGAGTAATTCCAGCTGATTACTAGGTGTCTGGTTTTAGGAATAATTTTGGCCCTAAATGTTAAAGGAAAACAGTACTAAAGTGAACTGGGCTCGCTTGAGAAATAATAAAGTGATTTTTCACTCATTGGACTAGCAGTGCAATGACTCAGCTGAATTTCATATTTGCAGCCTGTTAACATGGTAGAACTTCACCTCTTTTCAAGGACTTTTCCATATTAACACTTTTAAATGACTCACTATGGTTCCAAGATGGGTAGAGTGGTTTTTGTCCACCTACTGACTTAATGTTACATTTGAACCTTACTGAAGGGTAGCCTCTAAAATGGTTGCAACTACCAAGACTGAAGGCATGCCTATACTGGAATAATTTATTCTTTATCAATGTATCGTGGTATGGGGACATGGATGATTACCATGCTTCATGATGGTTCATTGTAAGTCCATGACACTGACAATACAGCTAAGTTTCTGTGATGCTTCTCTGATAATTCCAGACACAGGTCCCAGGTGCAGGTGCATTGCATAGTTGCTGGTGAATAATAAATAGTGGCACAGATATGTACAACATACCAGATTTACTTTTATAGCATGTATACTTTTGTGCCTCACAACTAAGTATATAGTATATTTGCACCTGGTAACAATACACTTAGGTAGGTTTGTTCAGTGACTGGATCTGTCCTGCCCTTGGATTTGAGGAAATCCATCTCCCATGCTATGAGAGAAAGGGGATGCATTTTCCAAGAACTGTATGCAGGTACTACTGCTGGACAGATTATGGTATTAAATAGAAACCCAGAGTCTATCTTAAGAGGCAACCCAAGCTAACTCTTATGTTTTTCATAACTTGTGATGTTTTAGATCATTTTATTGAGTCATTATTTAAGTAACAGTTTCTTTTCCTCTAATATCTCCTTCTGAGATCTGGGCAGAATAGTCAAGGCAAGGGGCTAGTGCAGTGAGTCTCGACCAGGATGCCATGGCAACCCAAAATCCCATAAGACCCTTTCAGGGGTGCCACAGCACAGGCACCACTGCTACAACCAGGTCCAGTGCCCCTGCACCTCATGCACAGCCAGACTGGGAAGGGCCGCAGCACACACATGCACTCCTGTCCGCACTGAAGTTATCTGATAAATCTAAAGCAGGCAGAAGTACCCACTCCTGCTCCAGCCCTTCCCAACCCAGTCCCCCAGTACTTCTCCTGGAAACAGAGGCACATGGGACAGCTCCACCTGCCCTGTGTGCCTGTTTCCAGGAGATGTTGTGCAGCCTGCATTAGTCTTAGTAGACAACCCTAATGATACCCAGAGCATGCACATGTGTTGTAGCCCTTCCTGGTTCAGCTTTGCACAAGGTATGTTGGGCACTTTAACATGGTGGTAGCTATGGCAGCATCCCAGCTGAGCATCACTAAGGTAAACTGAGGCAGCACAACAGTGGTTCCCAACTGGGGTGCTGCCAAATTCAAGAGAGCTGTGGAAACATGCCCTGACTCCAAAAATGTAGTGAATCACTTGGCAAGTGGAAGGACATCTCTCTGGGATACGTCTTATGGCTCAGCTAGTTTCCCTTATCCCTCTTCACATCAGATAGTTGTCCTATACCTCACTTTGAGAGGCAATGGTGTGTCAATACGAGAACCAGGATGACTTAGTAGAGAGGTGGACAAGCTTTGGGCACTGCATATTCTTTAGCTAATGCAGTAATTCTCATATGGTGCTGCAGCACCCTGGGGTGCCCTGAAATCTTTTTAAGGGTGCCATAGGATGCCATGCAATACTAGGTGTGCGAACACCTATACGATTTACAGAATAAATCCAGAGATTTCAAAGAGCGATCCATGGTTCGAAAAACACTCTTAACTACTGTGGTTTTTGAGTTGTTTGCAACAGAAAAATTACTCTATTATTTGACATAGTCAAGAAACCAGTGAAAGCTACAAGCTGACATTTTCTGAGTGGTATCTTGAGTCTAACAAAGTTTAGAATCACTGATCTAATGCCTACTGGCAGGGCTCAGGCAGATGAAAGCAGCAGCTGAGGCAGTTTTCTCATTGCCATGGCAAACCCAGGTCAGTTAACGTAAATTCATTTAACACGCAACTTGAAGTTACTAATGTGGATGTGTACATGCCATGGTAGATTTGCTATCTTTCACTCCAATAAGTTTTGTACTGTTTTCCCTTTAGCAATACAAAGATCCTGTAAATAACATTGCAGTGGTCTGTTCTGTATCCACAGGCTCTCTACAGCACAGGGCAGAGCATAGCACAGATGAGTACCCTTTGGCTCCCTCTTAAATCTGAAACTGGGTGGTGGGGAAGGGCAGACAGAGCTGGAGCTCTAAACTGCTGGAGCAGTTACTGAAGAGTGGGCTGAAGCATCGTGGGACAACTGAATCAGTGCAGCTGGAAAACATATGCTTCTCCACACAAGGACTGAGTGATTCACACTTAACAGGAGCACATAGAATCAGTCAGTCACAGGACTTGATCACAGCGGGTGCAATCATAACAGTGCTAGGAATGTATGTAAAATAGCTGGAGCACTTTTATATGAAGGTATGAGGTATGCTACAGGCATGTAGGGGCTCATAGAAGTGCTTGGACTGCAAGGATTTGTAAGTAGAGGCAGAGCTATCGTGCAAAAAAGACTGGGATCAAATTTTGTTCTCACTGAAGTCCACAACAAAGGCCCTATTTGGTTTAATACTAGGGCCCTATCGCACTGTGAATCCATAACAAAGGTAATTTCAATAAACCATTCTCAAAAACAGATTTGCTTTAGTACCAGTGTGGACAAACCACTGCCAAACCACTTTTGATACAGAACTCTTAGCTTTTCCTTTGCTTTTCTTTTGTTCGGAGGAGCCGCAGGATGCGTTCATTTTTTGTTAGTTCTGCTGGCAGTTCATTTGCCTGAAACAAGAACCACCATGGTTAGAAGTGGGGAGGGAAGTATATCCAAAAACAGAGTTTAAAAGCATTAGCGTTCTAGAGAAACAGCTGTTAGGCTTAGGCCAATAAAGAAGCATTTGTATTTACATGTAGGCTGTGTTCCAGCTATCATGAGTTAAGATAAATCCGTAGGCTGAATTCAAAGTAGTAATAATTGTGATTCAATCAAGCACACATGCAAATACACACACACTTCTGCCCTTTGGATACCGACTACTCCCTTATCTAATCCAGGTTCCACTGGCTAGTGTGTAGTGTGAACAGAGCCGTGGTCCTTGTTAATTGCTCATAAGGGAGTTTCAGCTTGCAGACCCTCTTCAACCTTAGACCTGACCCTTCCCTCACACACACTGCAGTTTCATTCTGGATATCCCTAAAGTGCACTCAGCCTTACTCTGCCACGTCCTCATAGGGCTACTAATAAAACATGAGCTACTGTCTTAGAGCTGTTAACTCTGCTGCCACCTAGTGAAATGCATATAAATAGTATAGATGGATCTATATTATAGTATAAATCTATCTATATCTTATTTTGATACGGACAGAATCATAAAATTCCTTCCGAACTGTAAACCAGGCAATTACTTTAAAAAGATTTTGTGTGAACATTCACTCAATTAAAACTTAAAGTTTGCGGCATCTGTGCTTGCATTGCATTTCTTCTGCACAGCAACAAATACGTATTGGTGGGAACGTTCATAAAAAACAGCCTATTTGCAGCAATTACTAGAGGATATTCAGAAAGCATTGCTGGATGACGGGATAAACAAAATATTTGCATCAAAATCTCATTCTGAAACTTTCATTCACTTAATCATGGAACAAAAAAAATAGTATGACTGAATCATCAATAACCAACCCAGCTTGATATCAATTATTTGCAATAAACAGGTCATGGACAAACTACAAAGGAAAATACCTTCACAGAAGTTTTTCAGTATACAACTGCCAATACATAATGGAATCAAGGAAATAAACTATTTGCAAACAGCTGCAAACATGGAAAAAAACAGAATTAATGTAAGATATAAGAAGATTTATGATAAAGTATGGGAATCATTTACTTAGCTCTGACCAACATATTAATAAACAGGCACCCAGGAAGCAGAATCCTTTCAAGAGCCCTGGCTTGTGAAGTCTGAAAGTGACAGGATGAGTTTAATTTTAAGCTATTATTTCAGTTACAGATGGGCCTCCTCCAGAACCCCAGAGGCAAATATTCCCGTGCTTCAAAACCCTCTGAATCCTATCAAAACTCCTGTTCCTCAGGCCCAATTTTGTTACATATTTGATAGATAATGGTCCTATGTGGCATTCTTATAATTAGTATTTAGACACCAAAGATTGAATGGCCAGGGAGACTGGCTTCTTCAGCTCAGGTGTTGAGACACACTGGAAGGGCAACGCGCAAAAAACATGGACTGCCACCACCCTACCTTGTTGAAATCTTCTTTGTAATGACTACATTTATTTGCAATGTTTAGTTTTGTCATCTGAGACTTTTAACAAACTCTGTACAATGCATCAAAACGTACCTTATTTCTAATATTAGGATCTGCTCCTGCTTCCAAAAGCAATGCTACTGCTCTAGCACTGCCACCCAGAACTGCTGCATGGAGAGCAGTAGTCCCATTCTAGAACATACAAATAAATATCCACACATTTGTACAGCGTATGTAGGGGAGAAAACAACAGTAAAGAACAGATCCATGTATGAGGAAGAGAAATAACACAATAGCTCTTAGGTTATCAAAAACATGGGGGCTGATAACTATTACAGCACAATGGATCTATGAAGGTACTATAAATGTCATTTTAGGGCTTTAATATACACAGAAGCCAGGCTCACACTAGCAAGGAAATTAGTGGTCTTTTTAAAATTACAGTTTTAGCAGAATAGAAGTATGTGAAAGAACCTGCAGTTGACCCAAAGATCAGCTTCAGCCGGGCAGGATTCAGCCATCAGTGAGCAAAGTGGCATCACAACAGATAAAGTGAAGCCAAACTGACTATGCATTTTTCCCTTTCCTTGTTGATTAATATAAATGCTCTGGAAAAATATAGACATGTTGGTAGTTGGGGCCATACACTTCTCTGCTGCCTTCCCTCCCTCCCCACTCACAGAATGAAAGTTCAAATAACTGTGGGTGCAATTTCACACTTGTAATTAAAAATTAAGTGACTGCCACTCCATCTATCTAAGAATTATGTCTCCACAGCACAACAAATGAGCCAGCTCAGGAGAAACTGGGAGCAGCACAATGATCCACACCTGAGCTAGTTTACCCTGCTGAGAAAGATGCTCAATACTCCTCAGCTTCAATATATCCTAGATCATCACATGGATGTGCCTATATTGCTTCTAGTGTTCAGGCTGGCATTAAACAAGCTAATACATCTGAGTAACCTGAGCAATTCTACACAGCACTACATAGTGCCATGTAAACACACTTTGAGTAACAGGTTATATTTGCTGATCAAGCACTAAGAGATCCAAGTCATGTTAGTTACACCCACAATAGTGGAGGCTGCAAAATTGTACTAGTTATGTCTGCACATTGAACTTATGAGCGCACAAAAGAAGCTTATATACAATCCAATATAATCTTCAAAGCTTTTATATTCATTCAAGGAGAATCAAGATCAAATCTGGAATTAGAATTCTGTTTTGCGATGGTGAAGGCTGAATTCTGCCCTTGGTGACATCAGTGCAATTGAGGGCAGGATTTGGCACCAGAAGTGCAACATAAAGATCAATCCATTTATTTTCAAAATGAAGTAAGATGACAGAAAACAAAACTGAATTCTAAGTGCAGCCTAGATTACTTCCTCTCCCTAAAGCTCAGTACCTTGGGTTGTTTGGGTTTTTTTTTAATGTTTTGTTCATATATAAACAATACCAAAATATACAGCATAGACTTCATTTCTTTCTCTCTCACTCTCCCGGAGCCTGAATCCTATATTATCTTCCGCTTGTGAGCCATAGCTATCTATGGAAATAGATGTAAATCAATATCACATCAGGGCACCACTTCTGCACTGATGTTAATGGCAACTCCAGTGGAGAGTCTAGTCTTTGCCTCCCCAAGTCCATATACTTTTAATTTACATACTTCACATACTTACCTTCAAGAGGCCAAGTGTAGGAGAGAATTTGAGTAGCTCCTCTATAACATCATTATACCCTTTGTTAGCAGCTTTAAGTAAAGCAGTTGTACCATCCTTTGATTGAGAAAAAAGAGTTCAGTTATTATGACAGCTTTTCACATGCTCAAAATGGGGGAAAGGTTGACTTGTCCTCAGTCCATGCAGTGATCCATTTAGCACTGGGTCTATTGCCATCTATTCCAGGGATTCCTGGAGGAAGGTCTGCAGGAGTCCTCGGTTGGGGAGGATTTGGAGAGAACAAGGTGGAGGGATGGGTAAATTTGGGGGCAATGTGAATCCTGTTTTCTCTCCCCCTTTTCAACTATATTGAGAATTTGTATGAACTTGGCCTTCCCATCCACTTCTATTCCCCTGAAAAGGTAGCCTTAGAAACATAAAGAAAAGGACAGCCACTGGCATCACTTGAACTGCACTGCTTGCCAAACAGAAGGGAGTCCAGGGGGAACATATGATCAGTGCAGAGGTAAACGGCCTCCATGCGGATGGCCTTGCAACCCCAGTGTATCCTTGAAGGTTTAAGATCCTTCTCCCAGGTACACCAAAGACTTTGTGTGTAACCTTGAATAAGTTGCAATGGCTCTCTGCCTCCATTTTCCCGAGAGCTACTCACATTCCGTGTGGCATCTCGATCAGCTCCCCGGAGCAGCATTACCCTCACCACCTCGCTGTGACCCATTTGTGATGCTATCCACAATGGAGCTGTCCCATCCTTCAAGCAAAACAAGACTGATAATAGGCTTCATTGCTGACATACTATTTTCTGGCATCTTACAGTTAGGTTCTGACTGTTAGAAGGGGTCAAATTACATTCTAATAGCATCTTTCTGCCATAACAGCTAGACATAGCTTCAATATCAGTCGCACATGGAATGGCTGAGTGTATTAGCTATAAATCTCCTATTGTTATGTAATGGAAGCATCACATGTAATTTCCCAAGAATAAGCAACCTGAAAAATTTACTCTGCATGTGTACAAATGTATTTTCCTTTATATTTTTAAGTCCCTCACCAACTGCATCTCAAATACACAAGAAAGTTTGAAAGGTAGAGTGGGAGGTTATTCTCTGCAGCCAGAATTTTAGACTGTGAGCAACTGGAAGTGGCAAGGGATAAAGAAAAAACTCAGAGCACCCCTTTCAGTCATGTACCTAGTTCTAAGGGACTATTCAGTAGGTGACTCTGAGACAAGGTGACAGAAAAATGTTCAAACTTAAATGCCTAAAGCCAGGCAATGAGATACCCAACTTTAGGTGGCATTAAGTACTCATACATTCTGTTAACTCAACACTTCTGGAAAAGATTTTTCTCAGAATGTAACATCAGACATCTAAGTTTAAAATTTTCCATAACTACTTACATTTTGAAACAAAAAACCTCTGGAAATAAACTTCACATTCCAAATGAATTTAAGTTTTATGATTTTTTTTCCCCACCCACGTACACACTAGTCTCGGGAACTATTCCGGGAAGCTGGAATATGATCAGTAGCCTTTGGAAGAGGGGGCTGAAGCAGCAATGGATATAGATATTGGTTAACTGAATCAGGATTATTTTTTTTCTGTCTTTTTCTTTATAGATTAAACCAGGGGTCAGCAGCTTTTCACCAGCGCAGGCCAAAGCTTACAACCAGGCCATCACTGCAAGCCAGGAATCTCTGTCTTCCCCCCTCACACTAGCTAGATGCCAGATTCCCAGCCTCCCTGCAACCAGGGTAAGCTCAGACACTGCAGACCAGCATGCTCCAAGCAGAAAGGAGTGCTATAGAGAGGTGGCACAACGCAGTTCCAAGAGAACATTTCACTCTGCCAGATCAGATCCCCTCTTGCAGGTTAGATCCAGACCTTGGGCTGTAATTTGCTAGCCCCTGAATTAAACTGATTGATCTTTGACATGCATTTTACTGCAGAACTCCCTTGCTCATGCAGCGCTCTTATGGCTCTCAAAAGCCACATACAAGAGTTTGCCTGTCTATGTCTTACCTAGGGTGGCCATCATAGAGGACATTCTGCTTTTCTCCTACTCTGTCCTCTATTGATACAAAACCCGACACCTTTATGTCCTCTATTTTTCTCTTGAAGAAAAATAGGGGACATAAAGGCATCAGGTTTTGTATCAATAGAGGGCAGAGGACAACCAGACTGTCCTCTATGATGGCCACCCTAGTCTTACTGCAACTCTGGCAAATTAAGTTGGATTGACATGCTATTTCCTCCAGTGCTCATCAGTTTCTCTAGCCATTCTATGCATCTGTGTATCTTGTAGACTTTGTAGAACAAAGCATAACAAAATTGAACTGGGATTTTCAGATGAGATACGAGTGGTATTTACATCCCTAATTCCCTTAGGCACCCAAGAAACCAGCTAAAGTGAAAGTCTGCAATACAAAAACATTATTTTTTTCACTTAAAACTTTTCATGCAGACATATTATCATGAAGATTATTCCTCTCATCCATGCCAAGAACCCGCTTGACTACAGATAAAGTTATCAAGATCCTATGACAACTGGTGCAGTACTTTGCTTTCTATATATTAATTGTTCACCACTCTTGGAAGAAAGACCTATGCATCCTTTCTTTGGTGGTTTCTGGGCTTCACATTTCTGCTTTCTGGATGCACAAAAAGAGCAAAGACACATCCTGAGATCATGAATCCAAATCAAGGTCCAGTATGCAGTAAAAAGAAAGAAAAGGATCTTTTCCCATCATTGCATAATTTCTGTATGCAGTAATCAGTGTTTTCACTGATACCACTGTCTTACCACATTCAAATACCCACCCTGTTTATGCAATGAATTTTCTTCGTGATTTAAAAATAAAATTCAAAGCCTCCCCTGTATGATTAAAACTATGACTGAAGTGCACAAGAGTGATAGCAAAGGTTGTCACTCTCCAGTGTCCCATAATATCCCCCTCATTAAATTGAGTGTTTGATGAAAGTCTAAACAACCTCCAACAGAGGGAGCTAAGACATAGCATCAGAGCCATGAGATGGGTGGTATAAGTTTGAAAAGATCCTTTCCATACCGGTAAGGAATTCTACATAGAGAACATTTACTGCACACTCTGGATGGAATTCTATTTCCCTTTGTGCATCTAAAAGGAAGTTTTTTAGTGATGCAAATGACATTTTTGGTACTTATGTATAAGGTGGCAGTTCTACTTCCCTTCAGTGTGGACATGTAAGTGTGCACATGTAGACTGAGTAAGATATGAACTAGCTGGACAGCTACATGGCTACATAAAGACAACCGTTATGAACACTTACCTGTGTCTAAGGCCCCCTCTATGCATTACATTTATGTCATAATTAACATGTTAATCATGGCATGAATGGCAAGGATGTTACGTTGGCACCCAATTTAAGACACCATAAGGTGGCAAACTAGCCATAAAAATGTTCTACAAATAATGATTTCTCAGCATAGGACTCCTACCACCATACCACAGGTCCAGCACTGTCCTTAATCTTCTCTGGTACTCCTTGTGAGGCTGGGCCTCTGGGCAACCAAAGAAGGGACTTCTGTAGACTACAGGGTTTATGGTTCAGTAAGATGGATATGGCCCTCACTCTTGCTGGAACAAAAACATTCCACACAGCATGGGTCTCAATCCATTTTATCCAATGACTACTACATTTTTCCTTTCAATAACTACTGTATTTTTCCTATCTCTATACCAAGCAGAACTTTATATTTCGAATACTGGTATATACAGTTTTAAAGACATTACATATTTTAAACTTTTTATTTTCTTATTTGATTGCAAGTAAATAAAACTATATCTGACTACATTAGATCATTCCATATCCTATCATTTTCTTCTAAACTAAATTTATGCTGCTCTTTATCTTACCCATAGTTAAGGAGACCGCTTTGTGTCTCTGGACTTTATAATATCCCACAATGTTTTGGTGTTTTTTCATTCTTTGAAAAAGTCAAATAAGGTAGCAGCCATAATATCCCTGAACCTCCAATTAAGTAGCTCCAGGGGCACAGAACTGGCATAATTAGACTTGTAAGAGTTAGATCCTCAGCTGGTGAGAGGTGGCATTAATGGAGATCTGCCAGTCTAGATCAGATGAGCTTCTAGACCTTTACATTTTAATATTTTGCTTTCTTGACCCAAAAGTGAAGTGTCTGTCATTTTTGTTTTCATGTAAGTAGGTTTTATATGAAAAATCATTTAAAAACCTCCTTTAAGATTCCTAATTTTATGGCTTCCACACTGTTCCTAAAAGTACCACTAACAAGCACTCCTTTACACCCACTCCCACCTCACACACCCCCAAACCTAGAAAGGAAGCAATGAAGTTGCTGTGGGTGTGACTCCCAGCTGCCTCTTTCTTTTAAGATCTGTGCCTCTGATGGGGTTGAAAGCAATACCAGCAGACCTCAGGCTCCACAACCTCAGTTCTTGGTTTGGCACATGCCAAATGTGGAAGTGGGCCTTGGTTCTCAGCAATGCACTGAAGGAGCAGTGCAGAAGCAGAAGAGATCCATCTTAAAATGTCTCAGACCAGGTAGAATGCCATATAGTAGGCATTCAAGTAGGAACTTGAAATTCACCAACATATAAGCATCTTGGGTTAGAGCAGTACAGAAATGTAGCCTGTATAAGGTTACAGATTCTGTTCTGAAACTCCATCTAAACCAAATGATTGTTAAAAAAAAGGTTCAGTGCACCTCACAGGGAGACATTGTCCCAAATGGTAAAAGGAAAGAGAGAACACAGATGTGGACAGAGATAATATTGTTAAAGGAAGGAATAATGAAACAGGCCAAAATCTATTACTGAATAGCTGAGATGTAAATTCATGAAAACAAGGGAAGAAGGAACAGAAGAACTTGGAAATCAGTGGGAAATTGAAGACTGGTGTCTGATGAGTTTTACTTCACTGAAGAGCTTGCAAAGCCAGCTCTGATTATACTATACAGTGTAACACCAGGAAATATCTTATATCGGTAATGACAATAGCCTGTGATTGCAGCACCCTGGTAACTGTTCAAGAGGTGCTTGGTTTAAAAATCATCTTTAGACTGACTTCTGTGACTGATATTTCCCCTTGGAACAAAGGTTAGGTTTGCTTATGGGGGGAAGTGATTGAAATCCATCAAGTAATTTATGTAATTATCAGGTTAGCTATAAATGAGCTTTTCATTTGTTAACAGTTTAGATGTGAAACGGGCCCAAAAAAATCTTCCAGATAAAACACCTTAGTTATGTTATGCTAGCTAGCACCTTCTAGTAACACACCTTTAAATCCTAGTCTAGGAAAGCCCCTCCTTCTCTCTTACCTCTAGCTGTCTAGGCCTAGATTGCTAGAAGGAACCTTTTCTCTTCGCTAAGCTTAGATGTGAATGCATTCAATGGTGTTTCTAAGATAGCTACTGTAAAAAAAACAGCTTATACATGAACATGGGCTAAAATTGGTCAAGTGTAACCTAAGGACCTGCTTGACTTTAATTTGACCAGAACTACACTAGAGTTTTAGAATGTGTTACTGAACACCTTCCAACAATACATCGCAAATCATAGTCTAGACCAAGGGTGGGCAAAATACAGCCCGCGGGCCGCATCCACCCCGCAAGGCCATTTTATCTGGCCCGTGAGGCCCCTAAAAACTTTAGAAAATTATTATTTATCTACCCTTGGTTCCCATAAAAAATGACAGGAACCAAGGGCAGTAGGACACAAGGGAAGCCCAGTGG